ATATATATATATATATATATATATATATATATATATATATATAGGATGCAGATTGATGATCTGTCTTGAGATCAAAGAAAAACTTAAGCTTCGGTCATCTCTGATGTCCAATCTTGAACATGGACTTTTCATCCTAATCTCAGTCAACCCACTCGCCAAATTAGAAGCCGTCTGTGCTAAAAAGCAAAGTGGACGCTTCCTCTCATCATCTTCTTCCAAGTCATAGACGACGACCTGAGCATCGTCACCGTTCCTCCAACCAAGTGATGGTGCGGCCGTCACTCCCGGTGGCACAGCTCGAAATCCTCACGCCGGGAGAGGACCCTTCTTTTCCTTTTTGCCTGCCTTTTGAGGTGCGGAGAGGGCGAGACCGGGAAGTTAATTGGCTTCTCGTTTGGAGACCATGGTGACATGGCCGACGAGTATGAGATCACCTGCGCTTAGCAGCACATTTTTGACTGCATGCAATGCAATGATGTTTAAGGTCAGCTAACCAAACCCACTACTACGTTTGTGGCGTCGAAGTTTTAGATCACCAATCGTGCACGCTGCTTGTACTCGCTCATCTCGGAAGAAGGACCAAGTTTTAATAGATTTCCCAGAGCAGACATTTGCGCCTGTAGTGTTTCCATCTTCTCAACAGAGCGATGGGTAGCATTCGCAAAAGGATGAGAAGGACAAGAGGACTACAGATCCTACATCTTGCACTACGTGGCGCAGTTCCATACGCACCATGAATGCGTAGCCCACCATATAAGAAAAAAGCTGCTCATCTTCCACCGCACGGCTGCCCGCACCACAAGCACGAACACAGTGCATGCGCTGGGCCATCAGACCCTGCAGCATGACGCTGACCCAGCTTCGGTGGTGTTTCATCCCCAGCTGCTTCGCTTCGACCTGGAGAGATTTAAGGTACTTGACAGCTTCATCATGAACAGCAGGAGTATCCATGCGATCGTCACCATCTTCTTCATCCTCTCCCCTCTGCCGCTGGAACTGCTTGTTCGATGAATTGCCTCCCCAGTTGGCGCCGGACTCCTGACCACATCGTCGTCGTCTTCTTCTTCTTCTTCCGAGCTCAGCAACGCATCGATGTCCTCCTCGTCGTTGTCTGGGGACGGGATCTTCCCGGCCTCATGGGCGTGAGTTCCAGAGACATCGAAACTCGGAAGGCCGAACGTGCGGGCCACGGAAGGATCGAACGTGACCCGACTTCTGTGATGTGACTGGTCGAAGATGACGAAGTTCTTGAGGGCATGTTTCCGTCGGCTGGAACTCCATGTTGATCTGCGGAGCAGGGAAGTCATGATGATGCTCATGCTCTGCGACAGGGGCAGCAAAGGTACCTGTCGTGGAGTTTTAAGCATTCGCAGGAGAAGCCTTTCCAGCAAGATATGTTGGATTCCTTTGCATACTACCCTCTGTTGTTGTTGTCGCTGTTGATGATATTAACGATCAACTCGCTGAAAGCAAAGTTGAGGAACGAAAAGTGAGCAATCTATTGGACAATCGGGCTCTTCTTTCTCGACAACAGCTTGTTGACAGAAGAAAGATCTCAAGTACAAGGCGCTGGAGCAGCGGGCAGGGAGATGGGGAGTTGATGGCAAGTACAAAGGCCTATGGATTTGGTCACGCTGCGAAGCCCACTTCCCCCTCTGTCTTCTTTCTCGTGGGTGGGCAACTAACGGTGAGAGCCTCACGTGCCTTCATTAAAACTGAGGCAGCGCAATTACCGCAGCGTGTGTACATGTTTGTGAGCCCGCATCATCCCCTTCACTCTCTCTCTCTCTCTCTCTCTCTCTGTGCTCGACTTCACTCCATGCACTAAGCTTCAACCATGGTGTAGTGGTTCACACCTTTTATCTATTCTCCTTTTCTCTCTTTCCTTTCCATGATTTCTAAGGTATCGACCAATGTGCCATTGTCTCACTATCATGCTAAGTATTGGCATTTAGAAAGTAGCATAAGCTTCACAAGTACCAATTCTTGGGAATACTGTAGCTTTTTAAGGATAATGCATGAACTATGACATTTCACAGAATAGCACAAAACAACATAGCAATTACCACAGTATATTTATTCCTGATCTACAAATTCATATGCTCCAGATACAATGCATGACCAAAAGCGTATACTTTGCAAGCTAAATGTAGTTCAGCTGCAATACATCGGGGCTGCAGCAGGCTTATAAAGGAATGGTTTGACAGTGTGTGAGTGTCCTGATGGCAGGTTATATGAAAACTTGATTCCGGAGTGAGCGTCTCCCCTTCGCGTGCAATGTTCATGGAAGCTACTTAATGGCCTTGCCAAGCATGACACCCAGCGGTCGCTCTCGGGCATCGTCTCTGCCACCTTATAGATGCCTTTGGAGTTTGTGAAGGCCTGATAATTGAAAACCTCGCCCGACTTTGTTATGCACAGAACAGCCACTTCGGCGCCTGCTACAACACGCTATGCACCTTGTTAGATACCTCAAGTTCAAAAACATTCCTAAACCAGTTTATATTTTCATATAACCCAACATAAAGCACGAGACAATAATAAAATTCATGGTTAATATATCAAGAAATTAAGAAAATTCATGTACCACATTGGAAGCAAAAGTCATGGGATGTTTATGTTGCATGGCAGGAACATGTGTGTGGCGTTTAGTTTGCTCGATAACATTCAACTGAAGAAACTTCAAAGCAAATTTTACAAAACGTATGACAAGCAACCATAACATTCAACTGAAGAAACTTCAAAGCAAATTTTACAAAACGTATGACAAGCAACCATTTGACACATGGTAAGTTCTGCTACCGATCAAAGATGGGATACAAACTTATGATTGACCCAAAAAATATTCTTTGCACCCTCGTGATGCTAATGAAAATCCCACAGAATAGCACTGTATCATCATGATTTCTTCCATGGTGTTCTGCAGACTCTCATGTGATCGATGATCGACGATCAGCTAGCCACATTGATTGGTGATTTGTCAGGCCTTGACTGATCAATTGATGACAGGCCAACCACTGGTTGAAAACTTTTAGGCAGCAGTCCATCAAACACAGATGACTGATTGATGACTGCATACTTGTTGGCCTGTCCAACAAATAGACGACCTAATGTTGATTCCGAACTGGATGGTTATTGATGAATGCCTACTACCCATCCTCAACCAATTGATGATCGTCATCAAGCCATCAACAATCATGAGTAGGACATCAACTCATCCGTGGCCGACACCAGAATGAGCACGATCCTATCATCAGTTGCAACCCGCAACCGATCGTCGTTTTGATTACTGCTGATCATCATCCAACAACAACCATCACCAAATGACCATATCGCCAATTGGATGACAACCAATGATCATCGAACCACAAGTAGTCAGCCATCATATGCTCACCGGTGATTATTCCATCAATCAAACAACGATAGTTACACAAATGGTTGAAGTCATTATAATAATAGTTTCCTTTGAACATTTTCTTGATAAACCAAACAATAAAAATGTGAAATATAGTAGTTTTGAATCATTAACTTTAGTCACTTGCTGCCAACCAAACATAAACAGTTTTAGACTTTAAATACTTCATACAACTTTAAAAGGGCCTTGAGTAGCAAACTTATTAATCTCCAATGCACCTTACATAAAATACTACCAGAATCCTGAAAAAATTTTAGAGAAACAAACTCAGAGACAAGCCTATACTTTTTCAAACTAATCCAATCCAAAATCTTCCATCATGCTAGTCAAGCAAGCTAACCATTCATATAAATTGAGTTCAAACTTATTCTAATATTTAGGAGTTTATATAATATAAACTTGGTAAAATGTTACTTGTAGAGTCCAACTAAAAACTGCAAAGATAATTTCCACTTAACACTGTGTTTACTATCATAACCTGGTTCAGACCTCTTCCGACTGGAAATAACATCCGGCTTTCTAGGATTCCCAAAATAATTACATCTTGACCCTGTGGTTTGCTTGAGTAGGGGAACAAGTCAAATGTAATTATTTTGGGGGACCAAGGGAGCAGGACATTTTATTTTTCATAAGGAAGGTTCAAACAGTAATTTCACAAATTTGTAGGGTTCACACATGAAATTTCTCAAAAGCTTTTGAAAGTTCTGTGATTATGGTAGGTGAGATAACTCTACTGTTCCCTTTAGAGATTCCTAGTTGAAGTCAAATTTACCATAAAATGGCATATTGGAAAGGCTTTAGTCAGATGGTCATTAGTTTTCCCTCTTCCCTAGTCCTAATAGATAGGGTTAAAGTACAAACTTTAAAAGGAGTTATCTATTTATTTTTGTATAGAACAGCATTCGCAAGAATTTTTCTACTTGCTCACTTATTGGCGATCTAATTAATTTATCTCATCTATATGTCCTCTTTTGCTGTATCTGTTTTTTGTTTCTCTCATAGGCAATATATTTTAACTACAAAACATTTGTCAGACTGCAGTCATGTGTAAAATCTCTTCCCATTCAAATCAGTTCTCATATAATTATTTCCAAAACTAGTCTTTTAATGTTAATACAGTTGTCATTGTTAGTCCCTCCTCTATGACAACCACTAAAGAAGCTAACATTACCATCTGTTCTTGATTAAAAAAAATTAACATTTTACACTACCTACCAACCCTTTTTTATTGGCCACTATTGACAAGTCCCTACATTTTGTCATGTCATCTTCTTCCTCTTGTACCTTCTTTTCTTCTCCCAATTTCCTACAGCACCACCGCATCATCCTCCTACCACCTCCTCATACTCCTCTTTCACATCCACCTCCTGACCTCTTCCTCCGCCTCTCCCTCCTCCACGACCACCTCTTTTACTCTTTTTTTTATATATTTTTTATCATCAGTTGATGCATCTAATTAATGTTGAAACACTTCTTTAGTAAGCAACCTAACCAAAAATTTGTACAACAGCTATTTTTACTAATTCAGTTATAATAGGAGGACCATTTGTGCTATTAACCCTAAAAAGTCAGTAAGATCTAAAACCAAATAGCATGGAACCTCACAGGCACTTTTCATAGTCAAAATCAAAACAGCATCAACACTTGTAAAGACAAATCATCGACGGAATATTTATGAAAAATAAATCTCAATATTTACTCCTGATTCTGCATAGATTCAAGAAAATTTCTTCTTCTTTCATAGGACAATCGATGTGGGATTTCTTGCATCAAAATTGGTAAACCCAATTAACAAATAGAGTGTCGCTAAACGAAAACAGCATTACATTCGTCGATCATATGGAGCAAATTAAGAAATGCATACGCTCGATCCGAATATATCTACTATTATGAACAAAGAATCCATAAATAAACGAAGACGAGGAATCGACCTTGCAGGACGTGATCTTCGGGTCCGACGGAGGAATCCCCGCACAAATCGCACACCACCCTCCCGCGGATCTCGCCGGTCCACGCCTCCGATGCGCCGCACAGCAGAAGCGCCATCACCACCACCACCACCGCCCGAACGACTCTACCCGTTATCATCGCCAACATCATCGATGAGCCGCTGCCTCCTCCTCTCTTCCCTTCGAACCCTCTCCTCTCTCGACGTCGATGCGGCGGCTTCGGTATAACAACTGCAGCCGACGCTGTCGCCATCGTCCCTCTTTATTGCCCTTCCATTTGTTTCTGTTGTCTTATTGGCGTTGGGCTACCGCCAGAATTTGACGGCCCAACTGATGGCACTCGGTGTGAATCCCATCCCCGCCACGTCGGATATTATCATTAAATGAATATCCAAAAACGATGAATTCAGCCTAACAAGTTGGAAACGGTTGCTTTAATGTCTGTCTTCGTTGCTTCTTTACCTCACTATCTGTCAAAATAAACAAGGAATAATGTCTTCTTTGGAATGACCAAATAATGTTTCCTTCCTTTCTGATGAGTAATTTAATGACATGACATGTCCAATTGACATGTCCAATCTGTATATCCTTCATTGTAATTTAGATAAAGATTTAGGCATTTTAGAGCACAATTATTATTAAGGGATCTCAAGAATAATTATCTATTTTAAAAATAAATAAATAATATCTCATATAGGAAAGAAAACTCTTTGAGTGTGCTGTTGGACGTAAATGGATTACAGATATTCACCCACATCAAATGAATTATTGTCAAAATTTGGTCAACCTGATGCCCAAGTTTTGGTATATCCATGAACAAGATTTAGCAGTGCAAAACTAACATCCTGTTTAAACGGCGTCAAACGCAGGTCGATGACCAGATTAGAAGAGTAAAAACAAAAGCCACCAAATAACTAGAAAGCAAATAGTACATTTGTTACACAAAAGCTACCAGTGTTATGGAAGTAGAACACTTAAAAGAAGGGGCATAATGGAATAACATGTAACTCTTAGCTTTTACCCTGGCGTTGTCAACCTCTTTTTTCTCAATAAGCACTATCTTCTCTCTCTCTCTCTCTCTCTCTCATCGCATCATCCCTCATCAACTGCCTTGGAAGAGTAATGACAGAAATTACAACTGCGTAACATATTTTTAGCACATAATTTATCCTTGCCATGCAAAATTGCTCGGCAATAAACACCCATATTAGCGGCAGCAGATCACATCGTATGCAGGTTTTGGAGGCAGCACATGTTCATGGTCATTCTAGATGAATCAACCAACAAGATGCAAAAGAGGATTCTTGCATTCATAGCTACGCCAGACTGCATGGATCTATGTGGTGTCCATCAGGACCCTCTCTGCCTCTGCTGAATTCCTCCTTTCTGATCATGCTGGATTGTCGGAGGCTCTGTGGAAACATTAGAAGGGACAGGCTGTGGTGGAAGGCCATGATTTCTTGCCAGCCTCCTTGGCGCCTTAGGACCCACCACTCTCCCATGTTTAGCTGAAATCGGAAAACCAGTGTGGTTTGTCAATAAAGATTAAACAAAATAATTGACTATGAATGACATTTTACTTGAAGAAATAAGTTATAGTAGTATGTTGATGAGATATGTAGTACCAAATGGAATTCCCTGAGGCAACTGTGAGGTGCTTGCTAAATTGACAGGCAAAGATCCAGTTTCTCCAGGCTTTTCGGATGTATCATCTATGAATTGCCTTCTCTTGGATGATGCCCAAAACTCCTTTGGAGGAATGGCAGTAGAACACACCACGGTCGATCTACAAAAGCAAGGAAAAGTCACCAAAAGATTCAATACGATTTGTGATCGACACAACAACAGTATATGCGGGATCAGCGGAGCTGTCCAGCCAAAAATGTTGATTCCCTATTACCTTTATATGATTTTAAGATGGCAAAGCAAGGATCAAAGTTTTTGATAATCACAAACATTGATCGTAAAGGCTTCCATATGCCAAGTTTTGAAAATCAATTATGATCAGCACCAACTAATCTGGATCAGTATCAGACCTTCCTATTCTCAAAAACTCAATTGTCAGATCAATTAACTCCAACAATAGGATGAGGCTGGTCATACCCCAACTGATATCAATGGAATCAGTCAATCCAAACTGATTTCAACGAATTCAAGTTGAACCTAATTGGTTTCTGTTGATTTGGCTAAAGACACTAGGAGCCTAGTATTAATGAAGGATATTAGTGGTAGGGATCCGGAGGTTGTATGCAATACCTAAAACTCAAAGGACTCAAGCTCGCCACTCCCCAGAACTTATACCTTAGATTTTTCTTAATACTTCCTATATTCTTTTTTCATTTATATTACCTGAATTCTTCAGTTACTCTTTTTTTTTGTCAAAAATTTTCAATCTGACAGTTGATCCAGCAGATCTGATGCCCGAATTCGGATGATCCAGAGATCGGATGGCACCAAAATGACCTGATCATTCCTGGAATTAGGTTTTCTATTGATCCAGGAAACAGTCCCCATGACTTCCAATATATGACGTTTACCAAGCACTCGTGAGGCTTGCAACCAGAAACCTACATGAGAGTGGCTTGTATGCAGGTATTTGATGGCATCTACTAACTGACCATAAATGTATAACACTTAATTCTAAGCTTTTATACATCTAATCAGAGAGACCAAGACCTATGATTTATTTGACCACTTAGTTTGAAGATTTTATATCAACAATACATCTTACTGAAAGATCCATTTGTCATTATTAATATTCTTGATCTTAAATGTAGCGCATGAACCTTTACAATTTGCTGATCATTTAACATTGATAGTGGCTGCACACATACTAAAGTAACCATTTCTAAATTTTTGGAAATGGAAATGATATAGTTCAAAACAGAAGTACCGTGAGAAAGAATGCATTGCTCCAGAATACTCGATTGTCACTTTTTATTATTTAGTTGGCCCCCCCACGAAGAAAAGAGGAAAACCTAATGAAATGCCTATCCTATCTATTTGTTACTGTTTAAAACTTTAAAGTACTAATAGAAGAATAAAAGTGTTCTATTTAAGCCATTCAATACAAGTCATGTTGGAAAGAGAGAATGCAAATATATTGGGTGCAAACAAAATTTTTGATTGGCAAGGATCTACAACTTTCATATATTTTCTCTTAAATTGCCTTTATTCAACATCTACTTGATACTTCAATACCTTTTCAAGCTGTTATACCAATATAATCTATCTGAAAACGACCATTTTAACTCAGAACCAACAAAATTCTGTGCATCCTCTGCACAATGGGATCAGATTCAGGTCTAGAAAACACCTTAGTACTCAAATATTCTTCCTATCTTGTCCTTTGAATAAAATAGTAGGATCGTCAGGCCTTTTGCATCGTTATGCATGCATGCACAATTTTCACACAAATTACATAAGAAACATTCATCTAAGTCTTATGACAAAGAAGATGCGTTAAAACCAAAAAAGATGATAGATGAATTACCGTGGGAGAGAAACATGCTTCCTATCAAATGGAAATACTGGTTTGGTTTTACCACCATTTTCCTCAAGGTGGGCAAATTGCTCCCTTATTTGATCAACAGCACTGCATAATAGAGGTGATGCAGAAAGTTGCACAATATGCATGAGAAAAATATAAATATGCAATATAAGTTAGTACCTTGGATAATGGAAGTTTACTCCTTCAGTTTCATTGATATACTCTTTGAGAAGCTGCGGATGATATTCCAATATTTCTTGAAAGATAAGTTCCCTAATGTCCTCCTTTGACACTTTGCGCCGCTCAAACTCAAACTCCATCTTTGGGATTGGCTGACATGAGGGTTCTCTTTCCAATTTAGCCAGGCCATTAAAATAAGGGTCAGCTAATGCCTGATAAATTAAATGCGGAATTTTAAACTCATTAGGTAACTGATATTCAGGATATCCATAAAGAATAAGTTTCATTGTAATAAATTTGAAGTTGACCAAAAGAACAAAAAAAAGAAAATTAGGGTCTGACAGCATATGTAAAACAACTCAATGGACATACCTCCTCAGCTGATGGCCTATCCTTTGGGTCGAATGCCAAAAGCCTTTCTAACAATTTAAGAGCTAAAGGGTCAGCATTTAGAAACTTTTGTGAAAAGGGCACTGGTTGTTTTTTTCTCATACTGCTTAAATATCTCCTTGCCTTCTCATTACGCACCTGGAATCAGCGAGAACCAAATGAATGCATAACTGCATTGTTCACTTAAACATAATAATGACAGTTTTTCATACAAATTCATATAATGGATAACCATACCCGAGAAATGGTATCAAAAGAAGGCGTCCCTAGAAGATCAGTCATCAAATCCAGCTGGTGAACCACATTTTTACCAGGGAAAAGTGGTTTTCCAGTCAGGAGCTCAGCAAATATGCATCCGATGCTCCATATATCAATAGCTGGGGTATACTGCAAAACCATAAAAACTGTGATATACTATACCTAGATGACAAAAGCAGTACCAATGTAAATAAAATGTTGCCCATAGTACAGTCAAGTACCTGAAAGCTAAGCTATGTCAGCTACAGAAGGGTACAAACATCCTTCCTGAACAAAAATTCTGTTTCTAATTACTGGAAACTATTAAACTTGTCGTTACAGAAACTAATTTATAAAAACAAAGTCAATGGTCATCAGACCGAAGTTAAAGCTATAATTATAACAATGAAATTACAATAAGGTATTAAAAATATTCCTCAAGGTACTAAAAATATTTTTTAATATGATTCAGGCTTCAGCTGACTTGAATGAGGAAATCTTAGATCCTACAACCGATCACAATTTTAGGAAGATTGGTCTCATCCAATATAATCGCTGCACTTAAAACATTTCTAAATTATAATTCAATGGGTAATGCAACTTTTTAGATTTGGAGCTTAACATATATTTTGTTGTTAAATTAAACATTGTGCAATTGCTCTCAACCAATTTATCAGTAAAGGTCCTCTATGACAAACTTATTTTTCAGCTATAAGGTTCTGAAACAGTATAACTAATGATGATAAGTATCGATTATCTAATTACATGGAGTGATTTAAAAAGTGCTAGGCACTAAAAGGTGCCAAGGTCCCAAAACGCCCAAGGCACTCTAAAACATTAAAAATATATATATATATATATATTTAATATTTTAATATTTTACAAATATTAAAATATTAAAATATATTTTAATATTTTAATATTTTAAAATATTCTCTACTGTTAACAGTAGTAGAGAAGAGTAGAGTGTGAAAAGGAGACCAAG